TTATAAGATAAATTTAAAAATAGAAAATAGGTGTCAAAATTTTCTTACGCGAGCTTACGAGAACATATGTCTCTTCGTCAAGCGACAACAACAGAATCTGTTAGAATCGGGGTCATTCGCCTGACGAAGAGACATGTTCTCGCAAGCTCGCGTAATAAAATGTTGACACCTGTTTCTATTTTTAAATTTATCTTATCTCTTCATGGGTGTCCGTGCGTTTTAACTTATCGTATATATATATTTAATATCTATATATGTATATACGGCTCTGCACCCAGGTACTTGCTGCTGCACACCGACCCGGCGGTCACCATGGCGGAGGACATCATGGCGGACATGGAATGTGCCGCCACCTGGAGGAGATCGTTAACGGTACTGTCGACTGCCCTGACGAGTTGCTGTGCCCGGACGGCTCCCAGCCGACGACATGCATGAACGAGCGCACGAAGACCAAGACCTTCGTCTGCGACGACACCTGCTACAATGTCACGGTACGCGGACACACCTGAACGCACCTGGCTAGATTCTTGATTAGTTAATTAACTAATCGTAATTTGGTTAATTAACTATCGTACGAAGATAAGTCGTTGGTTATTATTAATTAAGGATGTTATACTAATTGTTTTATATACTATATGATACGATAGGATGTTATACTAGTTGTTGATATAATTATATTTAATTAGAAATAATAAAACTTAAATTATAAAAGGTTTAAAAAGACGGAGGCAGAAGGGGAGAGTGTAATGTAGTTGTTTTGTGCATATAATATTGTGTACTCTCGTGTGCGTGTGTATGTGGCTGTGTCGTGGCTCGTGAGTATAGAGTGTACCATGCGGTTGTTCTAACCCAAAAAGGTCCTCGCTTGGTGCGGGTAATTATGAATTAATTACCCTGAGGTTAGCATAAACTGATAGACAAACCAGACGTGTACGTACAACAGTATATATATATATCTATTCTCTCACTCACTACTTAAGTACAAGCATACAGGGTTTTCGTCGTGTTAGATAAATGCAATACGGTGTGCACACCTTACCGGCGTGGCTACGGTGGTTTAGTCACAAGGTATAAATAGTCTATGTATCTTAGCTAGCGCTCCGTCTCTCTCTCTGCACATATACAGTGTATGGTTGTACTACCTGTTTTCTCATAGAGTAATCAACCAGAGTTGATGTGTAGGATAAACAGAGGTAAGTACCGTAAATAAACAGATACAATGACTCAAAATAGTTTAAAGAGAGAGAGAGAGAGACACGAATACGATAGACCTATTAATACCTACAAGACGCTGACGTTCGGGAACTGTTTTTTAGAGTCCAGTACCCCGGTATTTATTCTCTTTTTAGGATCATTAGCCCGCTATCTGACGTCCGTACTGGCCTCGACACGCCCCCTTAAACGGCGAGTTTACTGGACGTTTTGGAATGGTCAAGTTGCCCCGTTCTACGTGGCTGCGTGCTATGGCACGACTAAGCTTAATCGTCTTTAAGATTAATTGTTTCTAAACTCTGCAGCGACATCCTATCCCTTAGGCTAGCCGGTCGCTTCACGATTTCCTTAATTAGTTTATTCTAATCAACTTTCCCTCTTGGTAATATTATCTTCATTACATTACGAAATTACAAATTCCCTGATAGGCATTGTACGTAATTTATCATCAGGGGCGTATAGCAAATCCATTTTGCGTGGAGGTGCAAATTAAGCCACGTTCAAGCTGCGTCCTGGGCAGGTGACCGTGGACAATTCGCCATTGACCATGCGAAACTATAAAAATTTCTCTGGGGGGGGCAGCTGCCTCGTACCTCCGCTAGCTACATTGATGTATTAGCCGTTGATGTATATTCTCATTTTAGGGGAAAATAATTATGTAAGGGTATCAAGAAATATTTATGGCACTAACTAAACTAACCAACGGGCAATCATGGGCCATTGCTGCCAAATAGATACAGGTAATTCTGTTCTAAGCAAAATACAGTGGGTGGATATAATGAGTTGTCGAAACAATGTGGGCCTGTTTGTGACCGATCAGTCTGATCTGGATCACTTGATCCCGCTCTGGCTAAAATAAATGCAAATGTGCTTGCATGTGTCAATGCCATGACCCCTCACCGGAGCAGCAGGGCCGTAGCTAGCGAAGAGGGGGGGGGGCATGGGGGCATATCCATTACATATTCAATGGCCGAATATCATCACACACAAAAAACGGAGTTTTTACCAGAGACGAGATAGCACGTGCAATTTGCGGAAGTTTACCGATGCGTGCCATTTATTGACAATTTGCAACATGTGCATCATGTGTATCAATGGCCGATCAGGGCAGTGGCTGTCTCACATAGAGCTGAGCACCGTTGCGTCCGCCACCCGAGAACATTTTAGTCACACTAGAACTCTATGCAGAATCATAGATAGATATCTACTCCTTATATGTATCCTTATTCTCCACGATATGTATTTGTTTACTCAGTATGCTATTCCCCTATTTATGATCTTTAAAACA